CCCCCGAATTAGCAGGTTTTATTTAAATTGACATGTAACGTGGCGCCTTCAGTAATAAACAACTTAACAAGCCGACCAAGTTTTGGTTCCCCCCCCCCCCCCCCGAAAAAAACTGAAATGACGCCCTTGCATATAGGATACAGAAGGAACTTGATGGTAGGCAGAAGAAAATTATGTTAAATTTAAAGCTCCAATTACATTTTTTATAAAAAATTTAATTTAGAAGAAATTAAATTATTTTTTTTATATAAAAATAAATTTAAAAAAGAACAAATACATAAATATTTATTTTAAGACATGACATCAGTTAATTAAAATTTGGTTTCATTTCGTGCTTGTCTTTCAGTAGTTTATAGTTCATAACACAGTGGTGGCGCCCCCTCTCTTCTAATTTTGAGAACCAGTCCTATTCTCCGTGCTAATTTTGTTGTCACCAGTTATGTTGACAAAGTCGTGCGAGTTGAGCCGTGGTCCAAATTTTCACCCCTAGTCGGTTTCCTCACTGTGTACGAAGAACACATACGCTGCCAACCACTGGTCATTTCGGTTGATCACTCACACAGGCAAGGTCCGTCAATTTATTGTGACTTTACCTGCTTCACTCTTGTACCAAGGGTAAGTATATCGTTAGTTCACGTGGAATAACTATGTCATGTGCTTGTTGAAATGACCTTAGATATCTTTTATTCCCCCTTCTTGTCTTCATCATATTTGCCCGTTTCTTGCATTTTCCTGAAATTATTCTGTTCATGAAATTGAAATGTAATGTATTTCAGTCAATAGAATAAAGTAAAGATTGTAATGAATTTAAAAAGCGTGAATTTAAGCGAGATAATAGATTGTCTAAGATTTTAAGCGATGTGCATTTACTACGGCTTAAATACCGCGACGTATTTCATAAAATTTAAGTATATATTGCTCTTTTATTCGTGATTGTCAAGAGAAAAGGAGACGGTTGTGTGATATAATTGTGTGTTATGATTGTGTGATGTGATTTCACAGACGTCACGTTGTATTTCAAATTTTTGTAGTCGGTGCACTTAACGACACACCCAGGGTATCGATACTGGATTCATACAGTTGCCCATTAAGCGACTCCTGTGTGACATGTCTAGATAATCCGTCTATGGGTAGTGTCGACAGTGTCCTTCATTGGGACGTGTCTACAGACTTCTTCTGTGAGACAGGTCTGCAGATTTCTTCTGTGAGACAGGTCTTCAGATTTCTACTGTAAGACAGGTCTGCAGATTTCTTCTGTGAGACAGGTCTACAGACTTCTTCTGTGAGACAGGTCTACAGACTTCTTCTGTGAGACAGGTCTACAGAATTCTCCTGTGAGACAGGTCTACAGACTTCTTCTGTGAGACAGGTCTATAGACTTCTTCTGTGAGACAGGTCTACAGACTTCTTCTGTGAGACAGGTCTACAGACTTCTTCTGTGAGACAGGTCTACAGACTTCTTCTGTGAGACAGGTCTACAGACTTCTTCTGTGAGACAGGTCTACAGACTTCTTCTGTGAGACAGGTCTACAGACTTCTTCTGTGAGACAGGTCTACAGACTTCTTCTGTGAGACAGGTCTACAGACTTCTTCTGTGAGACAGGTCTACAGACTTCTTCTGTGAGACAGGTCTACAGACTTCTTCTGTGAGCCACGTCAATAACAGACTTCTTCTGTGGGACCTGACCACCGACTTCTCCTGTGAGACCTGACTACCAACTCCTTCAGTTGAACCTGTCTGCTGACAGAGTCCTTCTATGTGACGTGTCTGTAGACTTCTTCTGTGGGACGTGTCTACAAGCTGCTTCCATGTGACATTTCTACAGATTTTCTGAAGGACCTAACTACTGACTCCTTCTGTTGAACCTGTGTGCAGGCGGAGTCCTTCTATCTGCCGTGTTGCCCTCAAGGTCTTCAATAGATTGAATTTAGTCAATAGCTGTGTTTATGACCTCCTATATGTTTACTATTGACAAATGACGCAATCTTTGATCTATTTATACTAATTTATAGGTTCGAACATACTGGGAATGTTTCATGAACGCACTGAGAAGACATACGGAAGTCACAGAACAAACATAGATGGGGAAACGGTAGACGAGAGAAGATTTCAGGTATGTCAAATTTCAATTGGTCAAAATTTCATCTCACCTCATCCGTTATTACCAAAATCCGTTAAATGGAAGCATGCGGCAGCTAAGTGTCTGCTAGACGTAAGTACAATTTGCTCAGTGTCTGCTAGACGTAAGTACAATTTGCTCAGTGTCTGCTAGACGTAAAGTTCAATTTGCTCAGTGTCTGCTAGACGTAAAGTTCAATTTGCTCAGTGTCTGCTAGACGTAAAGTACAATTTGCTCAGTGTCTGCTAGACGTAAAGTACAATTTGCTCAGTGTCTGCTAGACGTAAAGTACAATTTGCTCAGTGTCTGCTAGACGTAAAGTACAATTTGCTCAGTGTCTGCTAGACATAAAGTACAATTTGCTCAGTGTCTGCTAGACGTAAAGTACAAACAAATTTTCTCAATGTATCCTATAGACCTAAAGTACAATTAGGCCACTGCGATCAGTCCCAAGTGACAGGTCTTTCCCTGAAGCGATTGCAATAAAATGAAGCGTTGTCTCAACTGTACGTAGGCCATGGGCCAGTCGGACTTTGTAGGCCCTATAGACTGTTTGCAGTGGTGTAACTAGGGCTGGTGTTCCCCGGTGCGGTTCGCGTCCCCACACCCATTTGGCGACGCTGCTGTGTATTTGTTCAAAATTGAAACATAATGAAACTTTTTTTTTTTAAAAATGCATCTACTGTAGGTCTCTTTATATTTCACGTACATTTTTATGTCAGCTTTCATTGTTTCTTATGGTTTGTCATTGGCTTTAACACGCATTTAATTTCCTTAGAATAAAACCAGACGACGATGCAAGAACCAGGGCAAATTGCTTCCAAATGTGGGTCCCGTGGCCACATCACAAGGACCGAAGGGTACCCTCTCCACAACTGAAAACGTGACGGCCACAGAACGGGATGTTCATGTAACCGTTCTCCATGATGCCAAGTTGGACACAAATGGAAATGTAGTACTGGAACGTTACAAGGATTTGACCGAAAAAACAATGGAATCTCAGTTGAAGGATCTAACAATAGAATCTGGACCAGTTGAAGGCGACACGTCCTGCAGCACAAGACACGCCAAAATGGTCGATTCTTCAGTGGTGCACAGCGCATCCC